TTCAAAATATAAGTCTATTTGTGGAGTCCCTAGCAGTGGGGACAGGACCTGTCCCTGGCTTGAGCTGGCTTTTAGGAACCTATTCCCCATGCTAGGTTGCCTTGCTTAGCCTTGATCAGGGGGAGGAGTTTGGTCCTGCCTCAACTTGAAGTGCCATGCTTTGTTGACTCCCATGGGAAGCCTGCCCCTTTCTGAATGTAGAAGAGAGAGGAGTAGATGATGGGGATGGGTAGAGGGAAGATAGGAGGAGGGAACTGGAGGAGAGTGGTAGGGGAAACTGCAACTGGGATGTAAAATAAATGAAAATTTTAATTAATTAAATGAAGTTTTTAAAAATAGGTGGCTCTAAAGAAGAGGCCCAGACTTACACATCAAAAGATGAGGTTGGCCTATCAGCAGAAGTCCTTTACATATTAGTTCTTGGCCACAAGGGAACAAGTTGTTTCTGGCAAGGCCTTTTCAGGTAGGCCCAGAGAAGTCCATACATAGGCTAGACCAGTCTCCAAATGGGAAGGCACTGGCAACTTCTAAGCAAGATTCAGAGCTACCTCTTGGTCCAGTACCTCCCTCAGTTCTGGATGGGGCTAAGGTCAAACATCCCATAAGAGATTGCTGCCCTTGATAGGCAGCCAAGGTCCTCACAGGCAAGAGCAGGTTGCAGGCCTCCTATAACTGGAAAATGTCTATCCTCATTGGTGTTCATAGAATTTTAGCAATTCACCCAAGAGCTTGTCTTTTAGCATCCAAATCCTAGAAAGATTATTATGTTTTAATAATATTATTATCATTATTATATCATTATATATAATATTATTATATATAATATTATTATATTATTATTATGTTTCTAATATTATTATTATTTTACTGCCACCCTGTCAATCAAGCGGTTCATCCCAGGACTCAGGAAAGTAGATCACTAAATGGTTTTCATACACACAATGTGAGATGCCATGTTGTTGCGTAGATGGTTGTGTATTTTCGAATGGAGAAGACCTACTCCTTGGGGCACCTCCTCTGAGGTTTTCTGTTAATAGATTATCTCTGAACAAGAAACTATCATATTGATAGGGGATGTCCTTCTGTATGTTGTAAAAATATGTTTCTCCTAATGGTTGATGAATAAAGCTATTTTGTCATTGGTCAGCAAAATTTAGCCAGGTGGGAAATCCAAACAGGGATAGAGAAAGGTAGTGGAGTCTGGGAGACACCATGTAGCTACCCGGCAGGTAGGACACCCAGGCATTCTCTGGTAAGCCAAGACTGTGGAGATATGTAAATTAATAAAAATGGGTTAATAATTAAGAGAGAGCTAGCCACAAAGAAGCCTGAGCCATCCGCCAAACAGTTTATAATTAATATAAGCCTCTGTCTGTTTATTTGGGACAAAATGGCTTCAGGAACAGGCAGGGCAGAAACCTCCATCTACATCATTTCGTACCAATGGTTTTTAACCCACATGGATAGGGGGTGTGTGTGTGTGTGTGTGTGTGTGTGTGTGTGTGTGTGTGTGTACAGGTAGACAACATGCAGAGGCCAAAAGATGGCCTCAGATGTCATTCCATAGGCATGATTCATCATTTTTTAAGAACCAGAATTGTCCTTTAATCAGAAAAGTTTAAGGCCAGCAGTCTTTGCAAGATTCTCCTTAAAATGCTTTATCTAAGTACAAAGTCTTGCTCCTTTTCAAAGTGTACCTCCAGCATTTTTCTCATCCCTTAATCTCCAGTTGGAATGATGCCTTACTCATTTCTCTCAGCAAACACAGCTCTATGTCTGTTATTGACCATTGTTTACACATGTGTCTCTCATTTGGATGTAAGCTCTTAATAGCCATGGCAGCATCATGGCCTCTAATTATTCTCAGTCTAGTGGCCAATATTAATCATTCATTCATACATTCATTCATCCATCCATCCAACAACTGTTTCTTGTTTGCTTTTTAACAGTCTGTAATGCATCAGAGGGGGAAAATCAGGAACAACTAAAATTTAATGATATAGAAAAAAATTTCCAAGCTTGGAAAACTCTGGAGAAAACATGAGAATATTGAAGGAGAAAGAGTTTGCTGGAGCATTAATAGAAACCTCACTGTCCTGTGTTGACTTGTTTCCACATCTAGTGTACATGCTCCGGGGTAAAGGTGTTCCTCTTCTAGAGCTTTTATTATTTTATGTGATCTGAGACCCCTGTGGTTCATATGTGAAACAGAGTCCCAGGGTGAGTAAAGTAAATCTAATCAATGTTTATTTACAATAAAGTGATAATCAGGGGAAGGGAAAAGACAGAACTGTTTACATGTGGCCAACTCCGAAGTGTAATTGCCCAGCTAACTGTATGGGTTCTCAGATGAGGACTCATTCCCCTTTGAAACTCTGAAGAAAAATATATTACTGTTTCATGTGTACATTTTAGCCTTGTTTATTTCAAGTAACATCTTGGGGTATATGCACTTACAGAATATTTGGCTTCCTGCCTTTAATGCATGTGGTTAGCTGGTTGGTAGCTTGGTGACAGTCTCTTGCTTTGTAGCCCAGGCTGGGTTTGAACTCATAATTTTCCCACTTCTCAACCTCCCAAATACTGAGTTCCCAGGTGTGCACCACCATGGCAAGTTCAACATAAATCAGTTTAAATTTAGGTATATATATATATATATACCACCATTTTAAGTTGTCGTATATTAGTCATTTTTCTATCATGATAACAAAATTCTTGATATAACCACCTTCAGTGCACTGGTTTTGGTGGTTACTGATTCTGTCACCCTTGTTGTTCTCTCATCAAATTTAAAGAAACTCCAGGGGCTGGAGAGATGGCTCCCCAGTTAAGAAAACTGGCTGGTTTTCCAAAGGACCTGAGTTCAATTCCCAGCACCCACATGATGGCTAATGACCATCTGTAGCCCCAATCCCAAGGCAATTGGTGCCCTCTTCTGACCTCAGTGGGTACCAAGCACACAAGGGGTGCACAGAAATATATGCAGGCAAAACATTCATACATATAAAAGAAAAAAGAAACTCCAATCTATTTCTACTTTTACAAGTAGGACATAATAAATCTGATAATTTTCAAAACATTTCATTTTAAAAGTCATGTTAATTCTGAAACAATAAATTCCTGGTGGTTTAGCAATACTACTGCACAAATTTAAATGTCTCTCTAGAGTATTGAGCTTAACATATCTCACCATGGTGTCAGCCCTGCTTGGTTCAAATCCTGGCTCAAACTGATATAGGGTTAATAATATTAATCAAAAATTTCCTGGATCCCTAAACACAATTTATCTATTTACCTATCAACCCATAGTGTGCAAGGTTAGAAGGTGAGCAAGGTGGTCTCCTGTCTAAACACAATTTATCTATTTGTCTATTAACCCAAGTGTGCAAGGTTAAGAGGTCAGCAAAATGGTCTCAGACTAACTTTCTAATGAACTGAGTCTAATTTTTAAAAGAGAAAATACATCTGCATTAGTTAGCTTTTCGTTGCTGTGACAAATGGTAGTAGGAACTAAATAAAAAGGAAAAGGTTTTCTGACTCAAGGTTTCCAAGGCTCAGTCCATGTAACCTGAGGTCATACAGAGTATCCTGGTGCTGGAATGTGTGAAAGAAGAAGGTGCTCTCCTGAAGGCAGCTGAGTGAGAGAGGGGACAGGGACTGGGTCATGGTATACACTTCCAGGGCGTGCCTTTAGTGTGACCTGCTACTTCCAAATAGGTTTTACCTCCTAGTTCCTACCACCTCCCAGTAATGCCATCATATTATAAGCCCATAATGGATTAATCCGCTGATGAAGCAAGAATCCTCACGAGTAGTCACCCTTATCCTCAAAGTCCACTAGTTGAATTACAAACAAGATTGAATTACATGACGATCCTAGTTCCCTTCTTCCTCCCTTCCTCCTCTACCATCCCCCAACTAAAATCCTACCTGTCATATGTCCTTTCTTCTAATCTACACCTGACTCAAAATTTCTGCTTCTTCATGACATCTGCATCCTTCCTTTTCTTCCCTTCTCACTCTCGACGCTTCCTCCGCCCTCTTCCCATATTCTCAATTTGCTCAGGGGATGGTGACCCTTTTCCCTTCTCCAGGGGACAAAGTTTGTCTCTTTTAGGGTCTTCTTTGTTTACTAGTATCTCTGGCAGTGTGGCAACCAAACTTCTAATGTAGGAGACTTTGGGTGACATTTAAGATTCAAGCAGTGACATCATTCATCTTGTAAGGTTTGGAAAATTCAATGGAATCCAGCATGTAAAGATGTGTACGTCAATCCATGGTAACTCTTACTGTCTAGAACTTCACACGGTGCTTAGTAAATACAGTCTCAATCTATACTTACAACATTCATTCATCCATTTATTCTTGACTGCCTAGAAGTATGGCTTTTCACTGCTTCAGCTCCATATTACCCTCCCACCACTTGCTTGTCCTTAAAGAATGATTCCATTGAATCTACAGGTTATTTTCACATTGAGACTCCCTCTGAAGTCAGACCAGGTCAGAGCACAAGAGCCTACATTTCTGGCAGGAGTTTATTGGAAGTTATCATTATGACTCACACACAAAAGAACAGCATCAACAGTTGGCAGCACACCACCCACTGCCATTAAATTCTGCATTCCCTCTATTTTTCATTAGTTTATCCTCCAAAGTCACCACTTCAATATGTCCAATCAGACGACTGTGGCATGCAGACCTTTGTATTAACTCGATGGCTTTCATTTCTCTTGGAGTTGCTTGATCTTTTCATCATTGTATGGTATTTAAAAGAAGATAAAAGTTGAGGGAATACAACCTATCTAAACTGTATTCATTTAAACATATTTTACATTTACATATATTTAAAATGTGTACTTTTGATGAAATTGATCTACTCCCAAATACAGAGTTGTTTGGAGTCGTTAACTCACCTTCTGAAAACTCAAGAACTGTTCCTAAAGATGCTTATGTGTTGGATCATAAAGCATAACTAATGTTTAATGCTATATTATTCCTAGAAACCATGAGAAGTTGTGTGGCAAAGCTGTTCTTTACCTGTTCCTTAAAGGGTCATTACTGCCTGTACAGCAAGTCCAGTTTCACCCTCATCAGCCAAGCACCCCAGCCATGGATCCAGATCATGTTTCTCTTCCAACAGGTGTGTGTAATTCATGCTCATTGGGCTCCTGAACAAGCCACTAGGATGTGTGATTATTGAATTATTAATCCTTTGGCCAGAAATGGTGTGTAGATTACAGCACATTTACATTCTTAGGACATGTTTTCTATATTTTAATACCATTTCCTTAAAAAAATAGATACTGATTCATTAATCAGCAAGTCAAACCTGTTCTCATCTTGCATACCCTTAGCTTTAAAGGAAAAGTGGAAGGGTAGGAGAAGGGAAAACAGGAGGGACACCAGAGTAAAGCATTTGCCTGCATCATGGAAGTCCTAGGTTCACCCCTCAGAACTGAAGTCTTAAGAATGATGTATTGCATTCTTTTATGTTCCATTTGTTTAACTTTGTGAGCTGTCTAAAACACTTAATTGCTCTAATAAAGTGCTAAATGGCCAATAGCAAGGCAGGAGAAAAGATAGGCAGGGGTGGCAGGCAGAGAGAATAAATAGGAAGAGAAGTCTGGGAGAAGGAAAAGATCTAGGAGCAAGAGTAGAAGGAGGACTCCAGAGACCAGCCACCCAGTTACCTAGCACGTCACGGAGTAAGGATTAAAGGAAGGAATAGAGAATAGAGAAAGATAAAAGCCCAGAGGCAAAAGGTAGGCAGGATAATTTAAGTTTAAAACAAGATAGTTAGAAAGAAGCCAAGCTAAGGCCAGGCATTTATAAGTAAGAATAAGCCTCCGTGTATTTATTTATGAGCTGGGTGGTAGGTCCCCCAAAAGAGTTAATGAGTAAAACACAAACAACAACACCTGTATTTTGAAAACAAAATAGAAAGTATTTGCAGTTAATAATAGGGTGGACAGAGGCTGAAAATGCAGGATCTGAGGGCTGAATCCTAAAAAAGCTAACTAGCCCTCTTGAGAGGCTACTGATGCTCCAATGGATGATAACATACTAATGAATATACTGGTATCACTTAGTAGGTGATACTAAGGTTTGAAAAGAAACACTAGGTTTGAAAAGAAAAGTTAGGGTATGTGGAACTGGGAAGGAATAGTAAGAGAATAGAGAAGGAATGGGAGAGGAGGGAATAGAGGGGTGGACTTGATAACAACACCTTATAAGCATATATGAAATTTTCAAACAAAAAAATTCTAAGAAAATGAAAATAATCAAAATTAAATAAAATTTAAAAGTCACAAGCCAGAATAGTCTAACATTTCTTTTGAAGTCAGGCTTATTGAGGAAGCAATGAAATGCAGCAATTACTGCTTCGTTGTCATAAAATGTAACTACAGTAAGAGAAGGTGTAGAATCTGCCAGTTTTTACTGTGTATGTCTTCTTAAGAATACTTAACAACATCTTGCAAAGAACAGCTCGGACATTGGTGTGAGCCAAGTTGCACATAAACATAAAAAATAACATTTTTCTTAGAATAATAATACTTGTTTTCCTCCACTCATTTTTTTTCAAATAGTTTTCCTCAGTAATTTGTATCTGGCTCCAGGTTTGACTTTGTTCTTAACCACACAAAGAAAACTTTTTTCAGTTTTTTCACTCTTATGTTATTGATAATCTGATTCTTTCTCCTCCTCTTTAAGGAAATTCACCAGAAAGTGTCTCTTTGTAATGTTGAGTTTATTTTACTCTAGTGCTTTCTCTCTTTGTTCATATCTATGACTTATGCAATCTGGTAAATCCCAACTTGGATCAAAGCCATGAAAAGCTTTCATTTATCTAGTAACTACAAACCATCACTGGTCTTACCATCATGTCACTCCCCAGATTCATGGTGTTCTCAGACTTAGATCCTGTCCCTCTTTGGATAATGATTCATTAAATCAAGCCCTGCTCTTCTTGAAACAGAACAACATGTACTGTATGACTATGACAATAATCAAAAAATTCCAGAGAGTGTGCACAAAGTAAATTTCAATCAGTCTGCTGCCTCATAAACTTTTAATATCTGTCTTTTGGGCCAGAGAGGTGACTCAGTGGTTAAGAGCACTGGCTGCTCTTCCAGAGGACCCGGCTTCAATTCCCAGCACCCACATGACAGCTCACAACTGTCTGTAACTCCAATTCTAGGGGATCCAACACTCCCACACAGACATACATGCAGGCAAAACATAAATGCACATAAAATAAAAGTTTATAGATCATCCCCCCAAAAAAGCTAATACATTTCAAAATAAAGTTAAAAAAAAAATCTGTCAGTCACTGAGGTCCACAGTTCTCTACTTTTCTCAGTCAGCACAAAAGGCCACTCACTCATTTTGATGACAATCAGGAGATTTTCCTGTAGAAATATATAGTATTCGTTACTCACTAAATAGAAAGTTGTGCACACAGATAGTCTAGAAAGTCTCAGTCGTCCCTATGGAAGGCCTCACCATCCAGGGGGAGCAGAAAGGATATGTAATAGGTAGGGTTTTAGTTGGGGGGGGAGTAGTGGTAGGGGAGGAGGAGAGGGAAAGGGAACTGGGATTGTCATGTAAAACAATCTTGTTTCTAATTCAAATAAAAAAATCTGCAAAAAAAAAGAAAGTCTCAGTCATTATCATGAAAATATGATTTATAAGCCAATCTCATTATTGTATCCTATTTTATAATAACAAATAACATTTATGGTATTGTATGTGAATAAATGATATTTATGTCACTGAATGGTGATCCCTTATGTTTTTACAAAATTCTTCTCTTACATTAATTTGGATTCTCACATCCATAAATGGAACATTCCAATGTATCAAGGATTACTAGTCATATCCTAGATTAGTAAATATGTAAGCATATGTCTAACATTCTCATTGGATATATTGAATTCTACTTATTTTTTTGTGTGTTGTGTGTGTGTGTGTGTGTGTGTGTGTGTGTGTGTGTGTGTGTGATGTTTCATTGACAACACAAAGAACTCAAAGCTTTAAGAATATTCACCCATTTCACATTTTAGGATAAAGAATATTTTATTTGTCCCAAACTCACTCAGAATGTTCATATTGCATAATTATATAATGAACTCTGATAATTATTTCATCTCTATTCTTTATAATCCACTCTGTATATAAATAGACTTATGAATTCTGCTTTTAATTTTATGCCTTCATTTCTCATATCTTTGGTAAATTCAATATGAACATTCATATTTACCACTTTCCAACTAAGTAATGTTATTGGGAAATCATGAAGATGGCATTATATTACAAGATTTAGGCACATATATAAGCAAGAATATAAAACCTTATTAATTTAAAACTTCTTTTAGAAACTCAGAAGTGTGAGTTTCTAAATCATAAATTTACTCTTCAGTATAGACTTCTGGTGTATCACTTAAAGTTACATCACGTTAACACTGAAAGCAGTACTTGGTGCCTGTCAGATTGGGCCAAGAGGTAATGTGATGTTTCCATCCTTATGCCTACGTAGAGCTTGTTTCCTGAGCCCCTGTCCATTCAGAATGGGTCTGTACAGTTCCTCAAAGGCCTATGGGAGAAGACACAGGCCAGCGGGACACACAGCTTCGAAGACGCTATGACAGAGTCCACATTTCCACAGCAGAAGGTAAATGCTTTTTTCCTCACACATGTCATTTTAAACCAAGATTCAATATTGTGTTTAAATGGTTTGCATTTTTCTTCAAAGTTCAATTTTCCCTTCTTTGTTTCCTTTCTCTTACTATCAGAAAATATGTATTAAGTAATTACTTTGGAATTTGATCATATTGTGGATACCTGTAATCCTAGCACTCAGGAAGCCAAAGCAGAAGAATTACAAGTTCCAAGCCAAGCTGGACCATATAGTGAGGCTTTGCGTCAATAACAATAATCACCCTTGTGGTGGCAATAGTGTAGTTCTCATGGTAGACTAAAACTTCCTTAGCAGGCAGCTGTATCAGAAAAAGATCACTGGGCAGAATAGCCTGGCTTTGGATAAAGGGAAAGTGTGGTACAGGGACTTTGGTGAGCTCAGTTCCCTGTGAGAAAAGTCATGGGGCTATGTAGAGCAATGACCGGACCAAAGACAGGAACAATACTTGGAAGGCTAGATTACTTTGGGGTTGATGAAGGTGCCATGGTTTGAGGTAGTAAGAACACTTTCAAATCTCCAAATGTCATTAAGCCTATTTAATGTGATATGGTGGGTCATGGAGGAATTGATCAAGGCATGGGGTAAAATGCTTATAAATGTCGTCAATGGCTTTGTAGACTGGATAGGAAGAGCCGTCTAAGCCCATCTCTCCTTCTGCCATCCACGGAGGATTGGGAGCTGTGACCAAGCTCTTACCACACATCACAGTTTTCAGGGCCTTGGTCTTAGATGTCCTGGCTTCTGGGACTGTAAGAAATAAATTATACAAGTGTTGTTAACAGCAGCAGATTAAGATAAGAAGAGTGCCATGTTTGTGAATTTGGGTGGTTGAAATGCTACTGTGTTAGTCACGAAGAAAGGTACAACAGGAGTTATGGATTTTGGGTCACTTGATATCATTACAGTAGACTGGGTCATTCAAGAGACATGCATGTGCAAACAGAGATGGTTGCTGAGAACTTCTCTGACCATTGCCAGCTTTCCACAAGGACTTCTGATTACTGTTTTTACTTTTAAGAATTCCCAGTGATAAGTATTGGATGCCAAGTGGAAATCCAGACTTTCTGATATATTTGATCATTGTCTCGGGGCCTCATTTTCCTGATTTTTCTTTAAAGGGTTGTACATTTTCATGGAGTATTCAAATCAGGATAAATCTCTCAGTTTCAAACATTCAGCATTTTGTGGGAAAAAAATAAAACTCCTTTATTATAGTGCTTTGAAATATATATACATTGCCACTATCTACAGTCACTTCACTACACAATAGAATGCCATGTCTGTCTCTTGTCTCCTTTGTCTTGGTACCATCTGGCCAACCTTTCCCCTTCTCTCCCTCCACTCATTTTTTGTATTTGAGAAAGTAAATAAGCATTTCAATATTAAATAAAGTCAAACAAAAGCTTAAAAGATATCTTTTTGGGTAAGAGTTCTTGCTCTGCAAGCAAGAAGTCCTGAGTTCAAGCACCCAGCACCCACATTTTTTAAAAGGTATGGCTGCATGGGCTTGTAACAGCAGCACTAGGATCTGGGGGCAGGGACAGGAAGCAGATCCTAAGAGCTTGCAGGCAGTCAGACTAGCAAGAACAGTGAGTTTCTGCTTCAGTGAGAGACCCTGTGTCAGGAATGAGACATAAAGCAACAGAGAAAGACACCAGTGTCCTCCTCTGTCCTCTGAATTTGTGTGCACTGGCATGTACACCCATACAACACCTGTACACAATAAGGAATTGCAAACAAATGGCAAGTTAATCCAAACCTGTTACAGTGTGAAAATATTTCTTCCATGAAGGATAGATAGCAACAGGATGAGAACTGTAACTAAACAGAATGTTTGTTTATAAGTCTATAGAAAACAGAGGAATATTCAACTCCATTTCCCCCGTCCTTTGGCTTTGGTTTAGGAATATGAAAATTGGTATTGAAAGAAAATGGAAATCCCCCAATCACACCAGAAAGTAAATGGAATTCTTTGCATAATGCTCTCAAATTTTCAACTGTTACATTATGCTTAAAGACATTGCATCAAATTCTTATAAATTTCCTAAGCATTGACTACTTTAACTGAAGACAACAAGAAAATTAAAACTTGGCACCTACTTCAAGTTCTAAGAGATTAAAAAAATAACTTGGCAATCAGTTTTGTACTTCCTATTACTGTTATTCATATCCCTACTTCAGTCCAATAAATATCCCTCCAGGGAAAAGGTAACAGTAAAGCCAATTTTTGAAAATGTTCTAAGTTTCATAATTTGGTTTATTCACGAGAATAGAAAAATGTTGGTGCTGGGATGTACATGGTGTGGCAAAATTTCTGTCCCCAAATTTCTCAATCATGCTTCCTTGCTACCTTCTTTTATAAGGAGTTCTCCATTTTAAGTTCAAAATAGCAGAGACTTCTTTATTTCCACAGTATATACACATATATGCACACACCCACACACTCACCATATGCACGCACATACATGTGTGTACGCACATATGCCTCACTGCACACACATACATACATGTGTACACACATCGCATACCACATGCATACACATACACACATGTGTATACACACACACAATACATGCACACACATGTGTACACACACATACACATAGGCACAGTGGTATGGAAGTGATGGCATTTGTCTCTCTGCTTCTGAACTTTCAATTCAGGTTCTCCAGAGAAGCACACGCTCCAGAGAAGACATCTGAGAGAATGCTTGAGGATCTAGAATGTGACTCTAGTAGTTTTAAATAGAAACTTGGAATTTTAGAACTGAAGCCTGTCACCAAGATTCACTAAATTAATGCCATGTATGATGGAATACACATGTTATCCTGCGACTTACCCAGAGCCTGAGAAAATAGCAAATATCTGAGGACAGAGATTCCCTCAAATTTACCATTTTATTTCCAATGTCACACGGTATTTGGCCCAAACAATGGGTGTCCATTGAATAAACAAATATGGCCATGTTCAAATATTAAAATTAAAAACAGGGGGATCTGTTGAAAGTCAGTGGCAGAACTAGAGCTAGACTGAATACCATGGTAACATCAGGGCTGTCACCAATGCATCTGGTTCTTCTCTCATCTGGACACAGGGTAGCACAGCTTGGTCTCGAGACTTGCCTCAGGCCAGGAAACAAGACAAGAGTTCTGTGTTGCTCCAGTCCTAGACTTTTAAAAGTCAATGTGTGAGTGTCTGTGTCTTCTCCTACCATGGTGACTAGAAGTAATTACTGATACTGGGTTAACAGAAGGTGGATACAGCCTGGAATTCTGAGCTCCCACATGGGGAACTGCAGCTCTGAAATGATCCCATTGCTTGTGTTGCATGAGAAAGGACCAACATTTTGCTCTGTCAAAAACTGAAATTTCATATTGGTTAGAGCAGCATTTTTTGTGTTTCTTTCTCTATACACATACCTGAATAGCATGACCTGGGATTAAATCCTGCCTTTACCACTCACTGGAGCCTTTGTCCCTGTGCCCGTTTCCTTGTGTCTCCCCCTCACCCTCCATTGCTGCCTCTCTTTCCCTGCTTCCCTCCTCCCTCCTCTGTCCTCCTGTATTCCTCCTCCCTCTTATTCTATCCTTTCCCCTGTCCCTGTCACTCTCCCCCCTGTGTAACACAATTCAAATCTGCCTTAGATGCACTGAGAAAAATTCAAAGTGGAGAAGCAAAGATGAATTTCAAAGATAAGCTCTTATAGTTTTATAATTTAATCAGATCAACATTATCAGAGAGTGTTCTCTGGATTTCCATGAATTTTCAACATAAAATTCAGTGCATTTATTATTTGCAAATTCTTACCAACCTCACAGAAGAATTGAAGTGTGACATATTTATATGATGCTATACTTCAAAATTATAAAACTATGAGAGAAAGTTGGTATTATTTGTATAATGCGTATGTTCACTGGTTCAAATGAAAAAAATCATCTCTAGATGTTCATGGCATAAAAAATTTGGTTGAAATCCAAAGTTTTATTAATCACACATTTTGTACTAAATGTTATTGTCTGTGTCTTAGTTATTCTAGTTATCCAAGGCAAGTTACAAAATGAGATTTGTCTTGTATAGAAGTACACTTTGCACGCAAAGAATTGCAAACTTAATGACATTCAATGATATTTGCTGACTGGATAAAATAAATGAGCAATGTTACTAACTAGAAATAGAAATATTTTTAGAATTATGTGTATTTATATAATAAAAGGAAATTACTATTAGTGATGAAATATTAAAGGTGCTTTTATTTAATTTTAAAAATAAAACTAGATATACACTGTCATTTATCATTTTGTGTTGTTTGAAAGCATGAGGTAGTATGAGAGCAGGGATTTCGTCTGTCAGTTCACATGGATCTGAGTATCTTAGGAGCATGCCTGGCTCACTGTAGCCAGGTAGAACACAGAATAGAAATAACAAGTAGACTCTTGTAAATAAGGAGTTAAAATCAACATTACACTGATAGAGTGTAGAGATAAAGAACCCTTTCAGAGCCAGTTGATGGCAGATGCTCATGATCCCAGCACTTGGGAGGCTGAGGAACCACACTGCAAGTTCAACACCAATCCATGCTCCTTTGTTCTGTCTTAAAAAACAAAAGGCAAAAAAGTGAAAAGATAAAAAGCAAAGGAGAAACAAAAGGAATCCAATTGAAGTAAATGATACTAATAACAGTAATAGTGACCTCTTACTGAGAATTCAAGATGTGCCAATCACTGTCCAGTGGTATTTTTAACTCAACTGAGAACTCCACACATGTAGGCAAGTACAGTAGCACCAAGTTGTAGTCTCAGACCTCAATTCTAGCATTATGAGTTAAATGCATTATCCTTCCTATTTTCCAGATGAGTAATAATTATGTTAGAAAAATTAATTTCCTCAAAGACACAGAACCATGAATTGAAGCAGGGTATGAATGAACATAGTGAAGGATCAGTTTCCAGATGAAAATATGAATACAATGCTAT